GATTGTGGGTGCTTTGGCTAGTCCATGATCCCATTGCAACAAGGCTGTCATGATCCGGGCTGCGTCTCCGTCTCTGCGAGACGGGTCCAGGGCTTCGTCGGTATGACGAAGACTGGTGCCTTGAGCGCGGAGACGGCGGTATGATGTACAGCTGCTCATCACTTAGAGGATTGGACACGACGCTGCCTCTGTAGTCGGCAGGGCAATACGCCCGCATCGACGTCTGTGTCGGGGACGCTGGAGAACGTCGATCACGTGGCCCGGCAAGGGCATCTCTGTGTCTGTAACCGTGAGGGGAAGCGCTCTCCTGCGATGGCACCATTACTGAGCACATCTGACGTCCTGGTGTCATTGGAGACTTGGATCGTGGCACAGTGGTGAAGTCTGGGTTAGTATCAAAGTCGAGAGGCAAGAAAGCCATGGTGCTATCTTAACGAGGCCTTGTAGAGCAGGACCGGAGATACTTTTGATGGAACTGGCGATGAATGAGGAAGCTTTTGGGTGATGGAGTGTGTCAGTTGATGAGGAAATGTGATGGAGGATGACGGCCTGTAATATCTCCTTCGGGGCGGTGCAGAGGAAGTGTGTGCCAAGGCAAGTATGAGAGGTCTGAGATGGGATCTGCCAAGATATAGGAACCTGTCTAGGATGGAAAGCGAAAGTCAAAGGGGAATTTGGGCCATTGGAGAAGTTTCTCTGATAACACGGAAGAAAGAAGAGGGGAGGAGGATGGGATGCGAGATGGAGGGTGGTGGGAAGCTCGAGGGCTTTATATGGTGAGTGCTCCCCCGGGCTGCTCTCTCTCCTCCAAGTGGCCAATCAGGGGACAGTATTCCACTTCCCCCGTTGCGTGCCACCGACCCCGACACGGAGCCCGGGCCCGCACCAGACCGATCCTCTTCCTGCTAACATCCAAGCTGGATGCCTTCTCCCATATTCCTCGTCGTTGATCTCATTGAGATGTGCAATGGCTCACAAAGTCTCATGAAGCCGGCGTGAGGTTGCTGGATATCGTTGAGCCCTCTGGACGATGGTAGGCAATGCTGGACGCATGTCTTGATTTCCTTCTTCCTTCTTTGCCTTTCCAGAGTCTCTCGTTGTTTCACTCCGTCTTACAGTCGAAGTCGATGTTTCTGCCCATCGTCCGGAGCCTTTGAATCGTTCAAGATCCAGTCGCCTTCTCTTTTCTGCCTTTCTTCTCTTGGTCGTTGACCCAGCTTCCTTGGCTTCTGATAGCGATGGCCTTAGTATCGATGTCCCAATTTGAGCGCATCCCCATTTGCAAGCTTGTGGCTCAGATATTCAGACGTTTCTTTTAGCAGGCGCAAGAGTGCAATGCCCGCCCGTGTATATCTCGAGAGGCCTGTTTCTTGCGAGAGGTCAAGCCTGGCTGGACTGACCGTGGCACACCAGTCATGTGACCCTACGCTGACCTAATGCGCACCCCCCTTGTAGCTCGAGAATGTCAATGGTCGTGGGAAGCATACACGAGGCTGCCGTCACCAAAAGGATGCCGGAGGAACCGTCGCTTCGATTTCCCAGTCGAAGTCTGGTTGCCGGGCCCCTTCCCACCGCCACCACCAAACATCGACACGGGTGAAGAAGTTGATGGTGTTGAGCCGAGCAGAGTCCCAGAAGAACAAGCCAAAGAGACGACAGTTCGTCATCCGAGGATCATTGCAGGTTGACCCTGGAAAAGATTGATATGCCCAATACCAGGCTTCTTCTGGGCCCTTATCGGTGTCCTCGCTTATCAGTGACTGTCGGACATGCTCTTTGTACTCGTCCGGAGTATAGGATGACAGAGCTTTCCTGATCGGGAGTTCCAAGTTGCTCATTTCGACGCATCTGTCAACAGCATCCGTGAACCATGAGTAAATCTCGCCAACCCGGTTGTAACTGGCGTACCGTGGCTGTTGCGGGAGGGCGAGAAGTAGCTGGTAGAACTGAGTTGGCGGTGATGTTGACACCCTGTAGAGAAACTTGATCCCAAAGCATAGCAGTCGAGCCTGGTTCTGGTTGATGTGGCAATCGCCGCGCTCCAAATTGGGAGGTAAGATTGGAGCGGTCCAGTACACAACTTGAGCGCCATTTCTAGGGCCGCAATGGTGTGTCTGCAGAGCCTCGATCTTACGAAGCTCCACGAGCGCACGCAATGCTATGGAGAATTGTCAATATTCAACATGATGTAGGTTCGAGAGATGACGGATAACTTACGAGGACCAATGACAACCGCTGCAAGAAAATCCCTTGTCGCAACCAATTGTTCAATCTCCCAAAGTGACAGGTAATCAAAAAAGTGCGCTCTCTGGAAGTTTACGATATCCAGATTGAATCGTACAACTTCGGGGTCTTTGAAAAGCTTGCAGTAGACCTCGAATCGATAGAGGGCTCTGTGAAAACGAGCAGACTCGGCATCGGTTGGCTTCTCAGCGGAAGAAGGTGCGTCAGGCCAGTCAGGACGGTCGTTGGCGAGACTACACTGCTCTTTCATGAGACGATGCAGTGCCATGTCCCGGAACTTGGACCCCAGATGGCCGACGCACTGGTGTAATTCTGCTAGTTGGAAGCCATCTGATAAGCTGATGGTGGGAGGAACACGCGGCCGTCTCTTGAGATATTCGTCACTAAAGGCGGCAACGAGATTCAGGTCTTTCGGGTCAAATTTGGAGGACTCCAGCGCCATGACAGCATAAGGAAGTGAAAGGTGGCCGATTTCGTTCAGGACCACCTGCCGACATGCTGACGAGGCGCATCGGAGCCAAGTTGGAGAAGTGAGGGCTGCATCTCTAAGGCATTTGAAGGTTGACAGATGTGATAGGATATACACCCAGAGCTCATCTGGCATGCGCCGCGACATCGTATCGTGGATTATTTGGCAAATTTGTCGTGATGTTGTTAAGAAACCGCATCGAATCCTCAATGTCTTCCTCAAGTGGTAGGAATTCCGGAAGTGGGCAGTTCGAGGTTTGACACAGGAATACGGTGTTTTCAGTTGGTGGTATTTCAATCCAAACTCAAATCAGGCTCAAGGCAGAGACCGTATGACCTGGAATTACTGGTGCTCAGGGTCTCATATGCCGTACTGAAAAGTCTCTTGGGTGGATGTGCGTGGTGAGTTCATGGCTTGTCGTTGTAAGATGACTGAGCTGATTGATGCGAGGATCGTCGATTCGGCCGCCGTTTGGGACAAGCCGGGGCCGAGAGGTACGTACTGTGTGGTTTTACAGTGTTTATACTTCTATCGGGTCATCCAGACTGGGTGGAGTCTTTGAGTGATAGAACCAATGAGAGATCATCAAAGACACTAGTCTACATCCGGGTTAGCGCTCAATTGCTCTCAACTCGGCGCAGGTGCAGTGAATTGCTGGTCGAGCAAGCTCGCGTCAATCCCTTCGCCAGACTGCCACGGTACCTCTCTGTGAACGTCACCCTTCTTCGCCGCATTCCACCTCGCTCTATCCTCACCAGACAACTACGAAATCGCGACTACGCCAGCATTATCGTCTCCGAATAAATCTGAAGTAACAACCGTCGCGATGGGCAAGAAGAAGCGCGGACACCCCGACGTCGAGGACGTCCTCTCCCGGCCTTGGTGCTATTACTGTATGAATCCATTGCCTTTCGCGTCTCGGATTTGAGCGCGTGTGCTGACTTGTTTGCAGGCGAGCGTGATTTTGAAGATCTGAAGCTTCTCATCTCTCATCAGAAAGCCAAGCACTTCAAGTGCGACAGATGCGGTCGCCGACTCAATACCGCTGGAGGTTAGTCCACCACGCACGCTGTCCTCTGTGGAATCGTAAGCTAATGTCTCGTGTCGCGCAGGTCTCTCCGTCCATCTGAACCAAGTTCACAAGGAAACTCTCACCCAAGTCGAGAATGCGCTACCGAATCGACAAGGCCTCGATGTGGAGATCTTCGGCATGGAGGGTATTCCCCAGGATATTTTGGACCAGCACAGGAACCGCATCATCCAGAACTTCTACCAAGCCCAAGAGGACCGCAGGATCGCCACCGGCAACCCCTTACCTGGCCAGTCGAAACAGCCGAGGAAGAAACTCAAGGTTGAGACTCCCGAAGAGTTGAAGGCCCGCCTTGCCGAGCATCGCGCACGACTGGCCGCCGGGCATCCTCCCGCTACTAGTGGCAGCCCTGCCAATGGCGCCCCTGCGAGCGCCAGCCCGGGTGCATTTGTAAGTATCCATACACCGAAAATGTTATACATGTGTGGCTTTGGGCTAATCATCCGTCACAGAACAACTCTCCGTACCCGCCGCCTCAAGCGCCTTACGGTGCGGCTCCCGATCCGAACTACCCGCCTGGTGCTGCCCCTGGCGCTCCGGCCTACCCTCAACAGGGCTATCCGCAAGGCAACTTTGGCGGTTTCTCTGCATCATCTCTTCCCGCGAGACCGACGAGTGGCCTTCAAGCGATGCCCGGTCTACCTCAACGACCGCCCCAACATGGCGGCCAGTTCTGGAATGGCTCTGGCGCACCGCCGCCTGGCTTCCCAGGAGCATCCACTGTCGATGAGCTGGTTTCTGGAGCGGCACAACACGGAGACGAAATCGACGAGCTCATTCGCAGAGCCGAGTCCGGTATCAAGCCAGCCAAGAAGCCCGAAGATGAAGCCGGTGATGAGGCCGCAGGCGACAAGAAGTCGAAGAAGGATAAGAACGGCAGAATGTTCTATGCAGACACAGAGGTCAGCCCTGAGGAGCGCATGGCGCAAATACCGAGATACGCCTACGTGCCCCCAGCATCGTAGTCAAGTAATGACTGGCATTGAACTATTTGGATGGCGGCGCATGGGGACGTTGCGACACGGATGCATCCCAATCATGGCAAGTGTCACTGCGAGAGGCTTTCATCGATTGACACGATTTTCGAGACTCGGGACGACAACGGCAACCCTCCTGAGCGGAGTTTCAATGGCGTAGCTGGTTTTGGGATGTACATAAAAATTGTAAGGAATGCACTGAAAATTTCCGTCACTGTACTCATCGCAGGCCGTGACGCTGAACAAATTGACAGGTCCTGCATTTCAACGATCGTCGTTTCATAGTGACCCGAATTGCTGTCTCTGGAGCTGCGGATGAAGAAGCTGGGATAACCTCTGATATGTGAACCGGCATCTGTATTGGTCCTAAGTCATGCATGAGAATGCAGGAGATGAGGGGCCGCGACGTGATAGGTGGTCACGCGTCCGTATCTGGACTTAGTTGCCAGCCTTGCTTACCTTGCTTGACGAGATCGCACAAACGACGCATGATCCATCCTTCTCAGAACGTTCAACATACTTACTAGCATTGTGGCATTCCTCTCGTACTACTCTGGACTTTTGGTGCACAGCCTTGGCCATGTGGCTGATCGACACACAGAAAACAACACTGCATCGCGTTGCGGATCATCGACAGAATGGCACACGCTCGTACGCCATTCTCTCCCACACCTGGGGCAACCAAGAGGTCGAATTTCACCACATGTCGAATCTAAACAGTGCAAAGACGAGAACAGGATGGAACAAAATCAAGATGACCTGCAAGCTTGCCCGCTCCAAATTCAAGTACGCATGGGTCGACACATGCTGCATTGACAAAAGCAGCAGCGCCGAGTTGACAGAAGCCATCAACTCCATGTACTCCTGGTATCAATCGGCCGAAATATGTTACGTCTACCTAGCAGACCTAAGTCCAATACCTGAAGGGCTTAGGGGCACATATCGTTACGATTACCTCAGAGACAAATTACCCAAGTGCCGCTGGTTTTCTCGGGGCTGGACTCTCCAAGAGCTGATAGCCTCAAAGCAAATCGAGTTTTACGACAAGAAATGGAACCTCGTAGGCGAGAAAAGCGACCTCATAACTATTATTCAGGAGATCACACGAGTTGACGTGAGCATTTTACAAGACAATTCAGACCTACAAACACTCCCGGTAGCACGTCGCATGTCCTGGGCCGCCGGCCGCAAAACCACAAGAGTCGAGGACATTGCCTATTGCCTCCTTGGTATTTTTGATATCAATATGCCATTGCTATATGGCGAGGGATCAAAAGCATTTCAAAGACTTCAAGAACACATCGCCAATGAGACCAACGACTTGAGCCTTTTTGCGTGGCAGAAAAAGATCGACTACCAAGCGGCTTCAGCTCCAGGGCTCAGTGGTGTATTCGCAGAGTCTCCAGCAGACTTTACATACTGCTCTACCCTCATGAGACACCGAGATCGATTTCAGTTCAGGAACGACTTTACCCTCACCAACAACGGTCTCCAAGTCAAGGCCCAAAAGCTCAGGCTGCCGGCGAATGACGCTGCGGAAGCGGCGAACGATGCCGACGCGTTCTACGCATTGAGTCTTGATTGTCTCGAAACCAGTGTCAGAACGCAAGGGACCCCCAAATGGCTTGCAATCTGGCTACTCAAGGTCGGAACGACGTTTGTTAGAGCGGTTCCAGATCAGGTGTATGCATACAACTCGAGATTACAATGGTCTAATGCCACGCTGGACACATTTGATGCCTGTATCCGCAAGACGCTATACGATCACGAAACGACGCGGCTGGCGTCCTTCATGGGAGCCAAGATCGGATTCGAGTACGACTCGCAGCTCAAAAACTTGATTATCTCCAAGACAGCGAACCCCGTGGAGGCATGCGTGCGATCCTCCGTCGCAGACTTTGTCTTTGACTGCCACGGGCTCGACAATTTCGCTGGGACGCATTGTTTCAAGATCCAATTCGGATTTCCATTACAGAAGGTTACCCTGGGCATCATCTGTGGCCTTCAGTGGGATGGCTCGCGTTGTCGACCGTGGGCGGCACTTTTTGACGAGCTTTCGGTCGAAGGGACCGAATCGGAGCTGCTGATGAGATACGCACAGGTGATCCCTGGCGTTAAGGCTGAGGAGAGACTGTCGGAGATTCGCGACTACATGATGTGTCGATTCACGGATCAATCAGGCCTGTACAAGTCGAATTTGATGCCCAAGTCTGCAACCATTATTCAGTACGGGACTGTCATCACACATCGTATCTGGATCGAGGCGGAACCCAGAAAGATCGACGAGGTTTCCTTCTCTCGAGGTTCGTCTTCTGCGTACATCTTCAAGGTCCATTATCGATCTGGCGTGAACCAGGCAGATTAGGTATTTGCTGAACAGGATCAAAAGTATGATGTTGTTGCTTCCATGCTCCTCTTCCCGCTCGATATGGGATGGCCGGGATTGCGTGAGTGGTGACGCGTTTGAGCAAGTACCTTACATGCGTGTAGGTACGCAGTACTCCGTAGACATGAACAATTGTTCGTGTGGGGACGGCAAGACGTGCCGAAGTTTTCCAATTCACATCACGAACCCAAGCGGTCGGGCTACTCATGGTGATGGCTTCCTTGCCACTTTGTTTAACAAGACTAGGGTGGCCGGGTAATCTGGGGGACCAAAGTTGCTAATAAGGCGAGTTTTTTTGGTGGCGGCCGGGATCATGTTCACTTTGCGGCTAAATGCAACTCTCCACTTCCAATGTCACAACTGGTTGTTCCCCGCAGTGACTTTTGCCGTGAGATCACGCGCGGATCAAGAAATCTCCAAATTACATGCAACTAGCTGGCTGATTGCTTTTTGGGGTAGGCAGTTCTTCTATCTTGTCTGCGTTTAGTTCAATGTCTCCGAACTCTGACCTGTTTGGTATTGTAAGTTGAGAAAATCTGGTCAATCTGGCGTGTAGTAAACTTGTTTGAAGAAGAAGCAAAAGCAAAGGGTCCTTCAGAGTACTCAAGAGAAGCTCACTACCGTAACACGGCACCGGCTCTTAAGCAAGTTGTGGCCGAACAAAGCCGGGCGTGGGGTAAAAGAGTCTTGGAAGCCGCTCGCTTCGAGGACCCGGCCGCGCCGCGCTGCGGGGAAAGCTCGACTCAAGCATTTTGGAGGCTGGGGTCCCTCGCCCGTATCGAGGATGACCATCTCTTCTCTACTGAGCGTGCCTCGTAACCTCGTCGGCCTCTGCTCCGGCCTGTCATGGAGACCCAGGAAGTGGTCCCTTTTACCCGTCGGCCAGGAACCGTCATCCCATCTCGGCTGGTGTCATCCGTCCCCGGCCGTCCATGAAGGCGGTTCTCGTGCCATTATTGGTGGTTCTCCATGTTTGTCTAGCTTGTGTTGCCGTTCGTTCGTTCTTTCGTTCATGCCCCGTACCATCAGTCGATCCCACCTTGCCATGCCTGTTCAATCTGATTTCCCCATGGAAGCGTCATCCTGGTCTGGGGTCTCCAACCGTTCCTGATCCGAGGACTGAAGCACTTGCGCGCGCTATTGGATGCTCGTTTGTGTATTTAATTAAAGCGGTAGCCCTTCCCTCTCAATGATGCTGGTTCCTGTCTGTCCGTGACACTGTTCTTGTACAGGTGGAGCGTGAGCTTCACAAGCCCGCAGTCATGGCGTTCGTCAACCTCAAGTCAATCTCCCTTGTGGTCCTATCGAGCCTGGCACCTTTGATCTCGGCATTGGGACAGCAGCCGATCGTCTCATTCGAGAGTACTTCAGGCAGCTTCCAGATTGCCGGAGGAGATGTCGGGACAGGCCAAATTCTGGTATCAGACGATGATTACTGGGGCGTCATTCGGGCAGCAGGCGACCTATCCTTGGATTTTGGTCGGGTCACCGGCACAAATTACACGCTCAGCAATGGCGGAAACAGCTCCAAGCCTGCTCTTTACACCTTCTCGCCAGTGGATGTCACCAATAACACCGTTGTGAGTCTCCTTCCTGTGCCGCAGCCCAAGTGGTCTGAGTGGCTCTGGAGAGCGTTCTTCTTAAAGAGAGGAAGGTCGCTAATCGTTGTCCACAGTACCGAGTTCTAGACGAACAGTCATTTTCCGGTCCCAACTACACCAATCCAGCCCCCGATCGCACCGTTGTCATCGTCGGCACCATTGGTCATTCAAAGGTCATTGACAGCCTCATCAAGGCCCAGAAACTCAATACGAGTGAGGTTGAAGGACAATGGGAGTCATTCGTCAGCCAACTGATCGACGAGCCCATTCCGGGATGCTCCCGGGCCCTTGTCATTGCCGGTAGTGACCCTCGAGGCACCATCTACGGCATCTACGACGTCAGCGAGCAGATTGGAGTCAGCCCATGGTACTTCTGGGCCGATGTGCCGTCCAAGAAAGCGACTGAGATCTACGCTCTGCCCGAACGTAAGGTCCAAGGATCTCCTACGGTCAAGTACCGTGGTTTCTTCATCAACGATGAGCAGCCTGGTCTGTCCAGCTGGGTTTCGTAAGTCAATTCCATTCTTTTGGGGAGAAAAAGGCTAACATGCCCAAAGAACCAAATGGAACGACACCTGGAATGATGCCGCAGGATACAACTATCACTTCTACAGTCTCGTCAGCGAGCTTCTCCTGCGTCTCCGTGCCAACTACCTCTGGCCTACGCTCTGGGGAAGCATGGTCTACGTCGACGACCCGCTAAACCAACCCCTCCTCGACGCATACGAAGTCGTTCTCGGTGGCTCTCATACCGAGCCTCTCATGCGCGCTCAAAACGAGTTTAGAACATTCTACCAGGGCCAATGGGCCTATAACCTCAACAACAAGACCATTGACGACTACTTCCGCTACGGCGTGCAGCGTGCCAAGCCCTACGCTCGCAACGGCCTGTGGACGATGGCCATGCGCGGCACGGGTGATACCGCTATTGAGGGCAACTTGGGAGTCGAAGGCATCGTCAAGATGCTGGAGGAGCTCGTGGCCAATCAGCGATCGATTATCGAAGAGGGACTTGGAATCGACAGTGCCTCGGAGGTTCCGTCATTGTGGTGCCTTTACAAAGAGGTCCAGTCGTACCAAGAAAAGGGCCTCGTCGTGCCCGAGGACATCACTCTACTGTGGGCTGACGACAACTGGGGCAATGTCCGAAGGCTACCACTGGTAAACGAGACTGACCGGAGCGGCGGTGCCGGTGTCTACTACCACTTTGACTATGTCGGTGACCCGCGCGACTACAAGTGGATCAACACGATTCAGCTGGAGAAGACGGCGGAGCAGATGTCTTTGGCGTATGCCCGGAATGCGCGCAGGATCTGGATTGTCAACGTCGGTGACTTGAAGCCGCTCGAGATTCCCATCAGTCACTTCTTCGACCTCGCCTATGACACCGAG